TTACGAAATTTATAATGACGGATCCAACATGGCGGCTGAAAATCTGCATTTGAACTTTGTAATTCTGACACCGGAATCGTAATCAGCGACCCAAAACCCTTAAAGTGTTCGGATTCAGAAAAATCGGCTGAGAGGAAAAACGTATATGCTTCAAAGGGTTAAATATGGTCGTAATGGATAGTAATGGATATACAAAAAACACGTTTTAACAAAAATGATACTACTATGATAAGAGTACGATTTGTATGATAAGGTACAATATTCGATGTTTTGTAAGATTTGTATATCCAATTTTTATCTTGTATCTTATGAATGAAAAGTCAGGATATCAGCGCTTCAAAAATCAAATACTTTTACAAATTCGTAAAATATAATAATATCTGCGCGATCATTTCGCATGCATGAACGAAATTTAGCGTTCTCTCCGCGAGAGTCAGCGATAAATCAAAATGTAGCGGGGAAAAAAGTTAAATTACGTCTCATTAAAAGTGTCAAATGACATATCTTGATGTTCTAAAAATGATTACTTTTTAACGATTTTGCTCTTGACTTTCAAATGACTTCTTGTCCTGCTTAGGAGAGATCGTTATGCGATTACCGCGCTCTTTAATAGACAGAAAGGATTACAAGGAGACGTGATGAAAAATAGCGCGCGGTGGGTTTCGATTCGCGAGAGTGTCGATATTATACAGGGTGAATTTTATTTCGTGTCCCAGCCTTTTACCATAAGGGACGGATTACGGGCTGCAATTTTAAGACCCTCTGAATAGAGAGTCTGTAGCGCAACTGTAATCTACTGAACGACACATTGACAGCTGCTTTGATTGACAGTGATGTACAGGCAAGTCAAAAGTTTCACTTGTCTGCACGCGTTAATGAGGCAATCCATCTTTCGTGGCAAAGGACTGGGACATAAAATAAAGTTCATCCTGTAGATTATGCATGACGTCGAACGTCGTGAAGACACTTAGGCCAGTATTCATAGTCCGTTCTTATATCTAAGATCATCTCAAGTATGTGTTTTCAACCAATCACAGTGCCGTACTAGCGTCTTAAGACAACGCTTAAGATGATTTTGAAATAAGAATCGACTAGGAATACCGGCCTTAGGATAGAACTGCTGTTCTTCCGTCGTTGGTTTGTCGGCGAGAACGCTCGCTAAGCGATTCCCTTCCGGATAAAAGGGCCGATCCGTGGGACGGAGTCTCGAGGGGCGGGAGGCGCTGTATCAGATCGATATTTCCCCGTCGAGATAATTTCGTGGCGGGCTCTTCATCATCTCGCTTTCATCCGAAACTCGAGCCGTCCGCGCCGAGACGGCCCGGCATGACTAATGAATTCACGGGGGCGAACTTTCGCCGAACCCGCGCGCGGAAAAAGCGGCGGCCGGTCCCGCCGGAGGTAACGTCGGCGCAACGTCAACATTAATACCCCCTTCAGCCTTTATACCTTACACCCTTCCAGCTGTCCGCCCACGCGCCGAATTAATGTTTTCGCAGATACGAGCCATTGATTTTACGTCAAATACGGTTACCGGGGTTCGGCCATCGGCGCGACCTATGCCGACGTTCAACTCCAACTGTCTGTTCGCGCATGTTACCGCGTTAAATCGTCGGCTATCTCGGCGAAATCGGGACGACGCTGTTGGTAAAATAAAAAGAAAAAAAGTCCGTCCGATCCCAATGGAGTTTACGGATTGAAGAGCGATATCGATTCCTTCCTCATCGTCGCACGTCGCGAGAAACGGCCGTGTGTCGAGTGATATTTTTAACGTAGACACACGCGTCTCTCTTCAGCGGGAGAAAGAAATCCTAGGGCTATGGGCGGTGCTCTTAGATTGGTATTCATAATCCGTTCCTGTACTTAAAATCATCTTAAATACAGTCTTAATGTGTTGCAAACCAATCACAGAGCAGCGTGTTAGCAACTCAAGACGTTATTTAAGATGATCTTAAAATAAGAACGGACTATTATAAATATCGGCCACGGTCCGTTTTTATTTTAAGATCGTTTCAAGCGATGCCTTAAGTCGTTAATACGGCTCTGTAATTGGTCTGTAACATATATCTCAACCCTGTGTTGGTCGCTGTGCAACGTAACGCAAGTTTAAAGCTCTATTGTCTGTAAGTTCTAAATTGAGAATTGACCTTGACCCTAGTTATGTTAAAATTAAAATTTTCATAAAAATTCTACTTGTTACACAAACTTTCAAATTTCTTCTGTAATTTTTCTTCATTCAAATTGAACGAATAGTGTAAACACCGTTTAAAAGTCGGTGGGGTCACTTGGAGCCCTGTGTGATCGATACGTGATTCTCAGGAAGTGACCAACAAGGGTTAAGATTGTACTCGAGACGGTTTTAAATATAAGAATTATGAATAACGGCCTATACACCCAGAGAAAAGCTTGTTTGCATTTTGACCTTACTAGACTTTGATTTAATTTCAAAGAAATAATTTCTTTACCTTAACCCAAATGCCATTTGATTGAGCCTGGAATTTCTAAGAGAATTCATATCAATTTCTTCAAATCTAGCAAATGTTTTAGTAGAAGTACAGATTTAGTAGATTCAAAGAAATTTTATTTCAACGCATCCCATTTGTTTAACCTAACTAAATTATCTTTTCTCTGGGTGTATATTCCGCAGCCTGATTCTAGGCCGGTATCCATAGTCGGATCTTGTATTCGAGACCGTCTTGAATTTATCTAAAGACGCTATGCGGAATATCCCATTGGCTACGGGGTATCGGAAGATGATCTTGAAACGGTCCTGAATATATAAGATCTCGCTGTGAATACCGGCCCTAGAGCGCGGGAAGAAGAAACGAAAGCGAGCATCACTGGAGAACGGGCTCGGGATGCTGGGAACGTGGGGTTTCCAATCGCCTCGAGAGATTATACCCACTCGATTCGCGCCCGCATCCGTCGAATTAATGCGGCGGATTGTATCCGCTCTCTGCGACGGACACGTTGCACAGCTCGCGCAACAATGTCGCCCGCGCTCACGTGCTTCCCTCGATCGGAGGGTGGTACACCCGCGTCGGGCGACGGAGCATTCCATCCAGGCGATAATCAATAAACGTCATCGTCCGTACGCACACAGTCGCCTGGTTCCGCGGGCTGTAAATTAACACCCGGCGCCCGTTAATTAGACAGATCCATTCTTTAAAACCCTCCCCCCCCCCGCGGCTGTTGTTATGGAGGGAGTGAAATTGGGTCACGCCCGTTTTTGTTTCGGGGGACAGTACGAAGACGGAATCAGGCGGCCAAGTGCCGGGAAGTGGGGCTTTCTTATCGAAAACCCCCCCCTCCCCCCGCTGATGCCCGCGCGCCCTTATTTGGAGGCCCTTGATGTTTAATCGAGAGTCTCGCGATTAAGGGGATGCTGGAGTGATTCTGCACCTTTTGCACATTTGCATTTAAAACTGTCAATTCGTGCAAACATTTGTGTAATATACAAAGTAGGTGACTTTTCTGTACAGGCAGTGTGTTCCACTAATCGGACTAAATCAGAGAACAGCGTGGTAGCATTGAAATGAAGTTTAGAAGCCTAACAAGAAATCTATTCACTGAGGTGTTCCTCAGTGAACACTGTCGGTCTGTACACAAAAGCCACGCAATTTGTATATTACACAAACGTTTTCACGAATTGACAGCGCTAGGAGCAAGAGGTGCAAAAAGCGCAGGATCACTCCAGCATCCCCTTAATTTCCTGCCAGGGAACATTTTCACGCGTTTGTATAGTCGCGCGAGCGATTTCCGCGCGTGAAAAATGAAACCCTTTGCCCCCGAATGGCCCTTCCTGCGATCGGAAGTAATCGGATCGGAGGCAATTTCCGAACCGAGAAGAACACGCCGTCGAAAGGAACAACTTTAATTGAATGCCCTCCCCTCCCACCTTCCTCCCACGCTCTTGCCGAACAATATTATTTTGTTCTTTTACACGGCAGTGGCTAGTTCGAGCTTCGACCGAGGACGCGGCTCGCGCGGTTCTCCGCGATCGAACGGGTTCGGAAATCAATACCATCGGGAGGAATAATCCTACGCCGCGTGATAAAAAGAAACGAACACAATTAAAGTGGAATTATGAAATAATTATCGCCCGGGGATCTTCCTCCGCGACGGAGATGCGCGCGGAGGTCGGGGTACATCGTCGCCGCGTGACCGGCAAACTCTCTCGCCAAGTTTTCTCATTTCGAGTTCGTTAGCACGCGAAATCGCGCCGGGCTTAAACCCGGCCGCTCCGTCTCGGGTCGACTTGCGTGTAACATGAATTATGCAGCGTTACCCCGTTAAATCGCGTAATTCCACCCCCGATTTGAACTGGGGCCGACAATTACGGGCCGATGATACCCGGGCGCGATCGCGGGGATAATGGCGATCGGGAACGACGGCACGTCGAACTTTGGGGATGGGTAACGGGTGGGCGCAAAGTGGTTGACATGCGAAATATAAGCGTATATAGTATATACGCGTAGGGTAAGTCAATAACGTTTAGACAGCGCGCGCGCGTGTGTTCGCACAATATGCTTCGACACACACACACACACATACACAAATGCGCGCGCGCGACTTCGTAAACACGTATACATTCATATACGCGTGACGCACGAAATCCCACGATTTGCCGAAGGAAACTCAGGAAGTTCGCTCGCGTTCGCCGGTTATGCCGCGGCTTATCTGTGGCGGCGAACGAGCCGAATCCCCGATCCCCGAAATTTGATAAAACCCCCGCCGTTCGCACGCACGTAATCACGCAACCCTATCGTTACTCTCCGAAACAAGTCGACCGCCCGCGGTGGGAGATACTCCAGATAGATCATACAGGCCAGGATCTATAGGCAATACTGTGAATTACCACGTAGATCGCCCACAAAGATAGAACATCTCCGTTTTGGGCGAAAGGTCGAAACGAAAGTCAGCCGCGGTTTCGAGCGTGCGATGCTGCGAGCGCGCAAAGCTGTCTCGCATTTTTCGAGAAATTATGTAAGGAGAGATATTTCGCTCGGTTGAAGAAAAAAATGAAGTAAAAAGTACGAGTATCACAAAAACAATGGCGAATGGATACGAGCAGTGACGACTTTTTATTCTTTCGTTCACGTTATTCATACAATATTTACAATACCGTTTCGCAATTTTCAATTTATTTATTCGTTTATTTATCGAAACGTTTACTGTGTGTCGTTAATAAACGTTTTTTTTTATTGAATATAACAATTTGTATTGCTCTTATCTTTTGGCTCTTGACTTTAAGACATTTGTTCGTACGTTTAACGAGCGTTGTTTGTTCTTATTATTTCAAGTAAAAAATTTGCGAGATAGGGAAGTGCTCTTCAATTTTCAACTGGGCAAAATAGCTCCGCTCTATCTCTACCTTTATGGAGGTTTTCGCGAAAAATTCTGTGATTTCGAATGCGCTCGGATGAAAGTTTTGGAGATAGCGCGAAACAATACCGAAGTACGATTGCAATGGAAATTTCCTGGAGATGAAATTACGACACTCTTTATTTAATGTCGGCGAACGGGGTGTCGTCTCATTCTACGAATTTCGTCAGCCCTTTCTGACCATATCGGGACCGTTTCTACTCGCGTTGAAAGTAGTTCAGCGGCGGTAATTAGCCTGAAACTGAACTCGCAACTTCTCTGACACCTTCGAAAGTTTTCAGATCGCAATTAAGAAGGATGGCTGAGGAACAGCCGAAGTACAAATTGATCTACTTTAATGCACGAGGTCGTGCCGAGCATATTCGCTACATATTCGCCTACGCGGGCATCGACTATATCGACGAGAGGATCTCCAACGATCGCTGGCCGGAGCTTAAAAAGTGTAAGTGCCAGAAATCAGGTTGAAACAACTTGTTCGCGCAGCATGTAAATTTGTTGCAACGTGCATCCTGGTGCAACTTTACGCAGGAGATTTAATTCTAATTTAATTATAATTAGAAATTAAATTCACCCGCAACATAGAGATTCCAAGTGTGACGAAGAAGATTTAATTTTGATTGCCCATTGAAAATTAAGTTCGCGTCGAACGCAAACGTTCCAGCTGTAATAAAAATATATGTACGAGACACTCTGAAAAACAATACGAAATAAATAATAATGAGCAACCGATATGAATCTAATACAATTGGGGAAGATGCCATTCTTCGATCGGACTGGATTTTTGTCACCAATGTAACAATAACAGGCCTGCGAAATTTTGGGTTTTGTTAGTTACAAAAGACAGAGTAGACAAATCTTTCTTTACCGCTGAAAACAAATCTGACCGCAGAACTTCCCCAGCACGTCAGGTTTCTGAGTTTTTTTTCTGGCCCAAAAATTGCTCTTTCGGTCAACTCCATGAATTTACAATGGAATAGAATCTGATTTTTTTAAAATATTTCTGCCAGTAACCATATATAGTCCTTATCTTTCAAACCCAATCTTTCGATTGCCGGATGAGTTTTTTTTTCACCGAGACATACAAGCATGAGGTTACGAGACTGGATCGTGCACGGGGGTTCAATTCCAAATCAACCGTATCATCCCTCTGTCTCACCTTAGCAAACCGCACGCACCGATTACTTTAACGCGAAACAGCTCCAACAACTCCTAAAATTAGTCGGAGGCGTACAGTAACGTTCTTATCGATAGCTCGAGCGGAGACAAATTGCTCGAGACCCTTCGCTGCCACTTAAGCACGACCCGCCGATTGGTTTCTCTTGTTGCCAGCGATGCCTTACGGGATGCTGCCAGTTCTGGAGATAGACGGCAAGCCGATAGCGCAGAGCAATGCCGTGGCGCGTTACTTGGCCCGCGAGCACAATCTCGCGGGCAAGGACGAGTGGGAATCGATGCTGTGCGACGTGCTGGTCGATACCTTGGGAGACCTGAAACAATGTAAGTGATACATATGCCCGGTGCAGAGTCCGTAACGGTTCCGGAAAGCCGCTTACGACCGTCCGCCCCTCTCTGCCTCGGCGATGCACCGAATCGATATTCCTTTTCGGCCGCGAATACCGTCTCGGGTCGCGATTTCCCGTTTTTCCGAAGGATAATCGCCACTACCCTCTCAGAAGGGATTTCTGATAACAAGACAAAACTCCTGACATATTCAAGCTTATCGCAACCTTATGCGGTAAAAAAAAAATTAATAAGATTGACTTATCGAGGTATAAGGGTACCGTATAATAAGTTTAAGCTTATATATTCTTGCGTTTAGAATAAATCTTCTCACGGTGTGTTTGTGCACGATGCGACACGGCGCACGCACCAACATTTTTTTTTTTTATTCTAGATTCAAGATAAAAATATACCCTTCTCGATAATAAATATGATTGTCGCCGTGTCGATTTTGTGACAGATCGAAATGTAAAAACATTGGAACTGGAAATCTTTTCTGGGGGTGTGCATCAGCTACGGCGAAAGTTTCGAATGTCGTTCGACACCACCGCGCAATTTAATCAAGCCCCGTCAAAGGGCCTCGCAGGTTCGCGCGAGGGTGAATCGATCGCCGCGATCGATGATGCTCCCTCTCTCCCTCCCTCCCTCTCTCCCACCCTCTCTCTCTCTCTCTCTCTAGAGAGAGAGAGGGAGAGGCGCGGAGGGTCGCGTCGTCGAAAACGAAACGGTCCGCCCGAAGACGCCGACCGAGATGGGGAGGGAAAAAGTGCGCAACGCGGGGTGCGATGCTCCGGCATAAATCTCCGGGAAAACTCCGGGATGCAGGCGGCTCGGTGACGGGCGCGAAAGTAGCTCCGCTCTTTTCGCGTTTCTCTGAAAGACACGCGCGATCTCGTGCGACCTATATTTCCCGGAGGTCTCCCCGGAGGTCGTCACATAATCGAGCGGACGGCTGTCGGCCCCGCTCCGGAAAAGCGTGGAGCAACTCGCCGCCGGCGTTTAATGCGCGCGAGAGCTCCAATTCGTGTCGCTTAATTAGACATTCTGGGATCGCGGGATCGTTTGGTATCGGAGATTTCGGAATCTGATCCGCTTATCGGCCGCTCGATAAACAGCCTTTGAGGGTGTTTCGGATAATTATGGGGCGCTTTAAGGGGATGCTGGAGTGATTCTGCACTTTTTGCCCCTAGAACTATCGATTCTTGAAAACACTTGCGTAATATGCAAATTATGTGGCTTTTGTGTACAGACCGACAGTGTACCGCTAATCGGAGTAAATCAGAGAACAGCGTAGTATCGTTGAAATTAAGTTTAGAAGCCTGACAAGAAATCTATTCGCTCGAATAAGTAACCGATAACTGATTCGAATGAGCAGATTTTTTGTTAGGCTTCTAAACTTAATTTCAATGATACCACGCCTGCTCTCTGATTTAGTCCGATTAGTGGGACACTTTCGATCCGCACGCGTAAGCCTTGTAATTTGTGTATTACACAAATGTTTCCATAAATCGACAGTTCCAGATGCAAAAAGTGCAAAAGGTGCAGGACCACACCAGCGCATATCGCGATGCCACTTTGACGAGCCACGGAAACACGCGCACAATTTGCTTTCCAGTCATCTTTCAGTATCGCACGGAGGAGGATCATTTTAAGAAGGAGGAAAAGAAGGCGAAGCTGCTGAAGGAAACGATACCGTTCTACCTGAATAAGTTCGAGCAGACTGTTGCCGAGAACGGTGGTTACGCGGTCGGTTCTACGGTAAAGAGAATCTCAGTAACGATCTTTACACGAGTTTGTTTGATTAGGTATCCCAACAGCACGTGCGGGGTCTGAGAATGTTCGGAGGGTATCGCAAAAGTATAGGATATTACAGGGATATTCTCAGAATATTACACTGATAAAAAAAAATGTCTTAATTTAAAAAAATTATACGTTAGTGTTGGCTCCTAATAGCTTAATAACTTAAATTAAAAAATAATAAACAAATTAAAATATGCATTGCTTTAATTTAAGCATTTATTAAATATCAAAGGATAGATAGTTTAAAATTTTTTAATTTTATTTTAATTCTATAAAATGTTTACTAAGATGTTATTTTCACAGCGAAGAAAATCGGATTTCTTATTTAACAAAAACAATTATTTCATTTAATAAACCATTTTCTATATCTCATGAAATCTTTATTTGAATGTAGAAAAGATAATGATTTAAATTAATTTACTTAATATAATACACAGATTCACTTGAAATTTGATATTTTTCTTTAAATAGAATAAATATTTACTTCAGTATAAAAAATAATTTTAAGTAAATTTATGTATGTTAAGAAATTTTTTTGTCATTGTAGAATATTAGGTACATTTCCAAATGCGATTGTTACAAACTCAAACAGGAACTTCACTTTTTAAAATGCTTCTCCAATTAACGTAATCTTTTCGAAGTAAACTTCAATAGAATTCCTTTCGTGTTCGAAAAAGAGCCCAGAATTAACGACGCAAAAACTTTTTTTCCAACTCTCGAGAATGTTTTTAAAACAGAAATAACATACAGAAGGAATTTATTTCACAATTCGGGAATTCACAAAGAATCCTTTTCAGATTCTCTTTGCTATCTAGGATTCTTAGTACATTCTACGAACGTACAGAATCTCATGTACCGTTGGGGTTTCAATTTTAAGGGGGCAGAACAAGGTGACGAATTGGAAAAATCGAGTTTTTTTTACGTATTTTGATAGATACACATCTGAAGAACATGCCTACACAGTTTTAGGACGAAATTCCAGGAAATTACCGAATAGCGGTGAGTTAATGACTCATTATTTCTAACAATAAGTACAAGTAATGTGAAGATTAAACGCGTTTTCCTCGAAACGACATTTTTTTTACCACGTTGACAGCAAATCAGAAAATCTAACAATCCAATCGACTTGATTAAGGTTGCATTTTGTGAAAACGCTTTTCTCGTTTACAGTACATAGCCATTTATTGATTGATAAAACTGATTCGATTTGATTTAACTCTTTTTTCGACAAAAGTTTTGTCAAATTTTTAAGTATTTTTCATATGCTTGCCATTGTTATTTTTCAAAAATTTTGAATTTTCCTACGTACTGTAATAGCCATGCATATGTAGTTTCTAAATTATTTTTGGGTTTTTTAGTTTCCGATAAAGCGTACGACCAATTTGCTACCAACGCCACAATATCGTTTTTTCGAAGGCGTCTAATTTGAAATCGTGTACACCAGCCTGAACATCACCAAACGGAATCAAATTTTAAAAAAATATTCTTTGACAGTCATAGTTTATGCATAATTAAATAGAAAACTGTTACATTATGTTGCATTAAAAAAATCCCAAAAATACCTATGTTTATCGGCCCGTCACCCTGTTCTACCCCCCTTAAAGCAAACTAAATTATGTGTAGAGGAATATAAAATGAGCGAAAGTAGAATATTATTCGCCGTGCTGTTCGATACTCTCGCCGTCGAATGGAACGGCCATGGGAACTCGACCGGAGTGTCGCGTATCCAGGACTTTTAATTAAAGCAGCCCCCCCTCCCACCCCCTTGGTATCGCGATGAATTAAAAACTTTCGTCTCAATGATAAGTCGCCCATCGCTTTGCAGACCACGTGGGCGGACTTCGTGTTCACGGTGGCGTTGGAGAACTTTGAGAACATTTTCGGTGCGACCGCCTTAGAGAGTTATCCGGCGCTGCGCGGCTTGAAGAAGCGGGTGCACGAAATTTCAGCGATCGCCGAGTGGCTGTCCCGGCGACCTCATTCGGAGTTCTGAAATGTCGCTTCGACGACGGCAACCGGAAGGCGACGTCGACGGCGCATCACAAACAAGTACATATCTGACGCTCGCAGCTCACTGTCCCGCATCGCTCTGACGACGATATTAATCGTGGCGCAACGCAAACACGACGTCCCTCGCGTTCCTGCGGAGCGCGGTTCTCTTCAAGCTACCAATATTTTTAAATCAAGTCCCCGAAACTTTTAATAAATTACACTTCCCAGCGAACTAACGGCTGCGCAACGTCAATATTATAATTTCTTACTCAACGAGACAAATGTAACATAACACACGTTGTACATAAACAGTTACATCGCCGAGTAAGAAATTCTAATATTGATTATGGTAACGTTGATGTTATGTTGATGCTACGTTGATATTATGTTGGTTAGTGCTTTCTGGGTTAAAATTAAGTATTCCAAGTCTTTTCGAGCGCCGCTCGGGCTACGAGATTGAGTTCTTCTCGTGCAAATGCGTTCGCTTGGAAAATGATGATATTACGTCGACGCTTACTTTCAAGCGACGTTTTATTATCAGTCACGTGAAACAGTATAATGGCCCAGGGAAAGAATTGATATTATCCGTCGATAGTGAGATGAAACATGCACAACCTCGTTTATTGCTACGACAGAGAAAAGTGATATATCGTTTGCTACTTCAGTCAACTTAATTTTTTTACGTGTATGCGAGTTACACGAACTTAAGGGATTCCCTCAGCCATCTCTTTTACCGATACAGTCAAATATACAATAGTTTCTGCGCTTGTAATTCTTTTCATTGACTTTCAGGCACAAGATAATGCCAATTTTTTTTATTATTAGACTTCTCGACTGAGCGTTTTAAGTATGAAAATGTTCTGCTATGCGGCCCGCAACTTCTCCTGGTATTATTTTGTGCGTGAAAGCGCCAACAAAAAGAATTACAAGCGCAAGAACTACATTTGACTGGGTCGGCAAGAAAGATGGCTGAGGGATCCCCTTAATATTATATACATATCGTCGATCGATCCCAGGTCGTTTGCGACCACTTGTTTTCGCACCGCTAGGCAAACCTGTACGAACAACGTGCGCATAAGATTACTGTGTCGAAATGGATGTCTAGGGTACAAATTAAGCTTGGTCAATGTGTTCATTTATCGCGCGCCGCGCGCGTCGTGTGATGCGTGAATGATGGCATCGCCGCAATGCGATTTCTGTCGCGATCACCGGAAAGGACGTCGAGACTAAACGCGACAAGCGTTTTCATATTCCGAACGGATGTCCCGCGTTTTGCGATTCGATCTCTTTTCGTTTTTACTTTTTTTTTAAGGTGGATCCAAGCCGAACGACCGAGCGCGAATGAATAAATCGCTTTAATGAGGGCGAGCGGTGTCGCTGCACCCACCGGCGATATTGAGGCTGCGTTGGGAAACATCACCAGAATGTATAATTTTATCCTTGTTTAACATTGGGTGAGTAACAAGGGTGAAATAATACACTGGGGCGATGCTTCCGAGCGCAGCTTGAGTCGTTCGTTCGTGCTTGTTCGCGCTCGTTCGCGCGGTCCGTTTTTATACCGCTGATTGCAATAGCACGACCTCGATACTTGATAAAATCATCCCTATTTGTTTCGCACGAAATATGTCCAGTCGGAGTTGGATGCGCGTAACACACAGGGTAACAATAAACGTACGAGGAGCAGGAGGATTTATTGCACGAACGGACGGCAACGCTGTAAGTACATACGGTTCTACATGCGTATTTTGTGTATAGAATTTTGCAGCCAGCGAGAGAGAAAATGCGACAAATGCAACAAAATAGAATGCAGCCGAGATTGAATGTAATAAAGATACGAAGACAGTTTCTGATGTCCTTTGTTTCTGTCAATAAAAGTCTGTGTCCACGATGCTAGAACTTGGTCCAGCTTGCTCCAAGTTCTAGCATCGTGGAGAAAGGCCTTAAGACGGCGACTTTGTATACGTGTGTACCTCATAAGATCATCGTGCGTGAACGAGATAACGAGCGAGAAAATGCGCTTGTAAAGTACATCTTGTTGGCATGGGGCAGCGAAAAATAACAGTAAGCTTTTTAATGTGCTACGACGGGGATGATAAAAAGAGCTCTGTCCTCTCTCGTCAGCGCGGTGTGCAACAATAGTCAATTGTAATTATCAAACGGGGTATTTAGGCGAGAGATTTGGACGCGTGAATGCACAATACATGTTGCAATGTTACTATGCGATGTTACATATGTAATATTAAGTGTATTATTAAGTGTTGACATTACAGATGATGTAATATAAATGTTATTGCGATTACACGATGGGACAGCATCGACTGATAATAATAACGTAATGTAAACAAGCGGAGTCGCAACTGATTTTAATGCTGTACATATTCGTATCAACAATGTGCCTCCCTTATGAAAAAGAAACATAAATTTGCGCGCAACACTTTAGCCGGAACGTGATATATGCGTCCGCATCGAAGTTTATTCGTTTCTCTTGTTACAGTCGAAATATTTTGTTTCAAGATTCGGCTCGGCTATCCGCGATTAATTACAGTGAAATCCGGAACAAGAAATGAGTAAAAAGAATCCAGTAAGAACAGTTTGTGGCAGTAACTAATTAATTATTGAAACTTTTTATGTCGGGAAAGTGTTCTTGTCTACAAGCAGCGAGGCGGCGCACCCCCCCCCCCCCTCCTCCATCTTGACTACACCCTTACTGTTATTGTTATATTCTTTATTTCCATTTTTACTTCTTACTTCATATTGATTTATATATCGTATCGGTCCATGTTTTAACTTTTTATTATTCTTTATTCGATTTGATTAATTGTAATATTAAAAAATTCTTCAGAAATACATTTTCCAGCGCGACATTCCACATTTTCGCGTTTTGTACGTACGTTAATTACGGCGAAACTTCAAAGTCGCTCAACGAAAAAAAAACATCCGCAACGCGATGTGTGCGTTTGAGAGACGTCCACGACGCGTTCCGGATAACTTGAAATCGCTCACAGAGCGATCGGTCATATTTAAACTCGCCAGTTTGCATACCACTCTGCGTTGTTGTAGGTAATAAGGCCGTAGTTCCGAAAGGCCCCTACGAGCTCAACGTTTCTTGGTGCACACCTCTAATTGTAAGTGTACAAATGCCACATATAAGTCTTCGACCCGGCAGAGTTTCAACATTTTTGTTTTCGCGTGACTTCGTAGCGACGCAAATTAGACACACTTGTACGGTTCCGCGTGGGTTTGCGACTTTCCACGCTAGGTGAAAATATCTACTAGTGATTATCATTTTTTTTCCAAGTAAATTCGCTCTGTGAGCATTTCAAGTTATCCGGAACGCGTCGTGGACATTTTTCAAATGCACACATTACGGCGTGGACAACACAAACGTCCACACATCCCGGAAAAATATCTCATTTCGATATTCGGGCGATCCAGCACCATCCGCAAAACGTTGTGGATGGTTTTTGTTCGCTCACTGAGCGACTTCGATGTTTGGGCGTAATATGTACACGTGATACCTCCACTTACCTATTGTTTCAAGATCCGGATCCGCTATGATGACGATCTCAAGTACAAGGTAGCCTGGAACAAAGAATGAGGAAGAAGTGTTAGATGTTATTCTTCATTTTTCTCATGTTCTTTATTTAATTTCATAAAAATTATAATGTCCAAGAATATTTCAATAACACATTTTCCTACGCGATATTCGTACTTTTACACGCATCCTCTCTATTTTCTTTTTGCTTCAAGATTCGAATCTGCTATTGTCCGAGATTATAATCCGCCATTAATCGCAACAAAATTTGGAACAGAAAATATGAAAAAAAATTAGATGTTATTGAGAGAATATTCTTTATTCAATTTGATGCAAAAATTCAAAAATATTGGAAATTACACACACGCCACACACGCGCAGACGCGCGCGCGTATATATTCAATAATACTCCAGATAACATAAAGAATTCACAAAGAATCCTTTTAGAATTCCCGATTTAAGAATAAAAATTTTCCATTTCCTTGTCCCAGCTTATTTCCGTTCTAGAGACATTCTTAATAAAATCGAAAAGAATTTGTCTTTATGTCATCAATTCTGAATTCTTTTTCCGATGCAAGCGGCACTCAGTGAGAAATGATCATCGATACCGTCAAATTGACATCGTCTCGACATCAATCGACGAATCATTTCTCACTGGGCATTCTTTTTATATTCCATAAGACACTCGCATCGAAGAGACATTCTTTAGTTCATTTTGCAGAGATTACGCTAATTCATGAAGAATTTTAGGAAGAAAATTCCATTTGAATGCACGACGTCTCACCGATGATTTTGAATTTTCCTTTTGCGATCGACTTGAAGAGTCGTAACAATCGAAATCGCGAGTCGAATTGCGAGACACGGCGAGAGAGGCTCGCGATCGATCCACTGGCCGACAGCGAATCTCGCGAGCTCGCCGCCGTTGAGGTTAGGTCACCGTCAACGTTATTCAATCGCGCCTCGCGATTTCACGCTGGGATTACCGAGGAGTTTCGCGCCGCGGCACGTCTCTCATGATCGGCAGTCCCGATCGCAAGTGACGGATCGTCCCGACGGAGTGCCGCTGTAAGAGGAAACATGGCCGCGACGCCGAAAACTGCGCTGCCCGAGGAGAGCGAGCTGACCGTTGAGGAGCTGAACGTCAGCTGGCCGGTCCTTCAAACCGCGTCCGTTTACATCGGCAAGGCTTGCGAATGGTACAACAATGTGAGTTGCAAGTTTGTGCGACCGCCGGACGGCACGGCTGGACAACCTGCGGTGTCCACTGCGCGTCCCATCCAGCCGTCCCCCTCCGAGGGGGTTACATAACGCTCGGATCCCTTGTCATCTCTATGTCAGCAACTAATGATTCAATTTCGCAAATTGATGTCTGAACTTGTCAAGGAAAACCTAGAGGAGCTTTTACTTGTAGGAAAACTGCGTTGCGTCCGAAAAGAAACCGGCGCGCGGTACGACTGTGGAAGGAGACGGTACATAAATTCACAATTCAAATGTAAAAATTACAAGTTGGGCCACCTACATCTTGCCTTCCGCATTGGCGTTTTCTCATATGTTGTTTAGTTTTAGTTAGGGGGCTTACTTTAAGTTTATTATTCTGAAATCTTCGTGTTAAACCAACGATGCTCAGTCTACACCTAGTAAACACCGTGCATCAGTTACATTGCATTTCTGTTAGCGACGAGCGAAGAGAAGAAACAGCTAAAGAGCCGGAGAGTTACAGAATACAGAGCTCGTTAGTTAAGTCGAAACGTTTGTATCGGTGATTTATTTTATTGTCATCAGGCGTGAGCTAACAACTGCCCAGTTAGAATTTCTCACTCAACAATGTAAGCACGTGTGTTGTATTACATTTACATTGTCGAGTGAGAAAGTCTAACGTAAATGCAATGCAACTGACGCTCGGTGTTCACTGGGCAGTTGTTAGTTCACGCCTGATGGCAATAAAAGAAATCGTCGATACGAACGTTTCGACTTAACTAACAAGCTCTGTATTCTGTAACTCGCCGGCTCTTTAGCTGTTTTTTCTCTTCGCTCGTCGCTCTTTCTCTCTCTACAGTGCCAACATAGCTCGTAGAGATACAGCGTCACAGAGCATTTTTACAAAACAGACATTAGTTGCCCTCGGCACAAATTAATACAACATTAAGTGGCAAATCGAGTTGCAGCTGCGTTTAAGCCGCTTGCACAGTGCGTCGAGCGAAATGATTGCGACAAACAGATACAAGAAGTTGCATCTTGTTGGGGAACGAGCTTCTAAGTATAAGAGTAGCTTTTGCGATCTGATAACTCTCGAAGATATGAAGTGAATTGTCGCGGTTGAATTGCAAGAGACTTATCTCTTCTTCAGGAATTTATGTTGTGCAGACAAGAGGAGCGTGACCCGCGTCGCTGTCTCAGCGAGGGGAAAGCCGTGACCGCTTGCGCAATGGACGTTCTTAAGAAAATGAAGAAGCACTGCCTGGAAGATTTTAACACCTACATGACCTGCCTCGAGAGGTCGTCGGGATCGTTGGATTTTACTCCGTATGTTCACTTCGTATTCCCCAGCCTGTACCAATTCTTTTTGTATTAATTACGACAATACGATCGCAAGCGTAAAAGCCGGATCGGACTAGCAATTGTCGACACGGATTGAATTGGGATTGACGATTGTTCTCGAGCCAATGACAGTCGATTAAACCGCTGGCTTTACTCTCACTGGCTAGAAGATAATCGCCAATCCCAATCCAATCCGTGTCGACCGTTGCTAGCCTGATTCGACCCTGATGTGAATGTCAACTTAGGTGCCGAAATACACAAGCTGCTTTGGACGACTGTGTTCTTAAGAATCTGAATATAGAACGTCCGCCCTATGGATACTTTTGCGAGGCCAAGGTGCATAACACGTCGAGGCCGCGACCGCCGAAAGAGGAGCCTATAACGTTCCCAGATCCGACTCCTGGACTACCACTAGAAATACCACGTGAGAAAGCGAAGTACCACAATCGTCTCTGGTACAAATCCTAAGATCTCCCAACGGATATCGCTATAGTATGTTTGGTCGTGCTGCAAAGATTACGTTTTCGAGATTCGGAATGCATCGGATAACTAGACTATTATAGGGAAACGAGCGTGCGCAAGCCTGACGGAACGCACGTAGAACGTAGAAACGTTCCTCTCGTGTGGAAAATATAGAATTGTACATGTTCTATGAATATGAACGTATTGACAGCAAGGTGATGATTTGCTTGTTGTTACTTGTACAAATATAAATATTAATTATATGAAATGTACTCTTTGTTTTTGTCCACCTTAATTGTACATTTAATGTCGACATTTGTACAATTAACCATGTATTAAATTGTAAGCATTAATATGTTATTAGACTCTGGAACATATTTGGTGTTGTAAAAGGGAGCTAAAAATCAATTTGGTTTCACAATTTGATTAATTGTACGGCATACCCTGGGACAAAACGTCGAGGGACGTGTGGCCCCGTGCACGGTTGGATAAATAATGCAGAGTTCGATTGGGCTCTTCGATAATGAAAATTATATACTTCATTTGTCACACATCACATAATTTAATAACAAAATTGACTTTTAAAAGCAACACATTCTCGTCTTTTGGAAGATACGTGACAATTAATATTGCTTTGTCGACATTACTACGGCATTTTATGTACAAGAGATACGCGATCCACTTCTGCAGCCATTTATATGTATATAAACAAAATCGAATGTCATTTTTTTAAAACGTACAATACGTGACGTATGTATATTAATCTACACATAAATCACGTACATGTAAACCTACTGAAATATATTTGACATCACTTTGCGAAAAAGATCACGTTGAAAACCGATTACACGAGGAATGTAATACCGGCTCCTACTTAACTCTACGGAGCATAGCCGTACACTGTAGACATAAATACGGACTTCACTGTCAGCTCGTGGCAATCGTCTCGGTATTCACACAGTCTGTCAAATACCGAAGGAGAGATGCACGCAATATCGCGCGATCTATAAGTCTTTGTAGAGCACAATCGTGTGTTAGCTCCACGTTATGTCGTAACCGCTCCAGTTTGCGCTTGGTGCTAGATGCACGCGTCTCCCGTTGTAGAAAAACGTCACGACACCGCGGTATCCCGATCTCGGCACACCGCTCTGTAACACCGTATTACGAAACTTTAGGATACCGCAGTTTAAAATGAATTACGAGAATTTTGGCGGGGGGGAAAAAAAAGGACACATTACTCTGAAATCGTCCATTAAACCAAGCAATTTGGTGGTATTTTTAAACGATTGACGAGTGTAGTATGGTATCCGTACTGGGCCAGGGGCGACTATATTTCCGCTTTTCAATTCTGAATAGCTAACCACTGTCGACTGATACACCTGGTTGACGAAGGCTATATCGTAATTATCCTGGAAATGGACACAATAATTACGTTACATTTAGCACGTATTCGCCAATGAGCACGTTTACACGGCACTTAATCGGGTTTAACCAACATCCGTAGTTCTAAACCTGGCGAATCACAACTATTCCTCTGAAGAATGGAACGACTGTGATTAGCCAGTCTTATAATTGTGGATGTTAAGTATGGAAAAACACTTTCTTCAATAATTTTACATATTTTGATGTTGAATGTCCTGAATTTTTTTGTTTCTGACAATCCACAGACCGTAGACTGCTGGCGGCCTACAGTGGGTTAAGCGTGCCGTGTAAACGTACTTAATAATTACGTCCGACATTCGCTCCCTTACTTTTAGTAAATAGGATAGATTCATCTTGGTGAAAGGCACAAATTGTTCATTCAGCTTGATGTACTTGAGGTGTTTTTCAAAGAATAAGCCGCTAGAAGTAACAAAGCAAATTTTGGTGCCGATTAGATTTACTCGGACTATTCCTAAATCGCTCTCGAGTTATATAACGTCAGTATCGTTTTAATGTAATCTTAAATAATGTGCAAATAAAAAATACGGATTAGAGGAAGTACTTGCTGACTCCGAGTTTGCCGAATGTTCGGGTTCGCGAGATTTCCGGGCGGATGCAAGCTCTATTCTTGCGTTGTTCCGGTTGTCTTATCCAATCGTCCCAGTATCTGCACGAGCAGAAGGCGTATTGTTGAAAACACGGATACTACAGACCGATGTAACTACAGCGAAATGTACGATTGGACTTACGACTTGGGCCACTTTGGTGCGAGCTCCAACCATAAGTCGCGCGTGAGCATCCAGCCTAAGCCAGGAAAGAAATCTGTCCTATAAAGTAAATGTGGTGCGTGTTCGTCCACCAAGCCAGCTTTACCGTTATCATTCCACGCTGATACGCACCATAGAGAACTGTCGTTCACTAATAGGGGATAAGTCCCCAGGAAGTACTCGTAAAAGTCTGGAGCGACGTCCAAGTCATCTAAAAATCGCAAGCAATTTTCAATCAAGCCTCGCGTCGCGGTTTGTTACGCAATACTTGCGGAGAATTCGTCTGCGCCGACCGTACCTTCAACTATAATTGCAGTACTATATCCAAGCTTTAGGAATACTTGATTTAACGCCCACTTATAATGACGCGCGATCTTGAAATATCCTCTGAATTTCTTTTCTTTAGGTGGTATTTCAATATCAGACTGATCTGGTTGCTGGAGCGATGGTAAAGACTGTATTAGTGTCGTCACAGGAGTACAAGCTGGAGCTTAGTCCCGTCGAAAGGGGAAATTGAGGGAGTCCGAGAATCCCTCCTTTCAAATAACAATACGTTCAAATCACCTTTATGTGCAACAGCTGATTCCCATATCTCGATACGATATCAGCAGTCTGTCGATGATCGCAGTCTTGCGACACAATTATTGGGAACTGTTCTTTGCTAGGTCTTAATTTAATTAATTGGTTTAGACACCGCTCTACCGTAATACGATTACAAGAGACGACCAAAACAGCTATTATTGGAGATCCATCTGGAAGCTTCTGTCTCGACGGAGTACTGTGTGTTGCCTCGGTCTACCGACAGATTCGACAGAAAAAGAAATTGAGATATCGTCGAGACTATAAATGAAATAAAATAAATTATACTCGCAAACTGCATATTGAACAGATTGTTGAACGCTGACTAGACGATCGAGTAAAATTGTTGTATGGACTAGTGTATTACGGATAAGACGGCGTCCTGTGTCGGCCCTTGTTCATTTTGAGACATCTTCCATTTATTTTTACTCCCGAGTTTTTCCAGTAGTATACTCTTGTCCCTCTTGGCCTCATGTCTCTTGTGCTTATCCGTCTCCGCGTCATCTATCGGCGATTGGGCAGCGGCGTTTAATCTATCGTATTCTATTTCTAAAACGACAATTACATCCCGTATTATTATGCATTTCATTTATCTCCATTCTCTCAAATGCGCGGCGCAAACTCTTTTCCGCTCTGATCTTACTCTTGAGACGTTTGCTCTCATTGATTCCCTCCAAAAGCTCCTGGTTTATGATTATCTGCTGTTTCACTTGCTTCTCCAATTTGCTAATTTGATTCGACAGCTTGTCCTTGTCCTAAAAACAAGGATCCAGGTGTTATGGCTCGAAAGCCTTCGCACGACGAGTGTCGTAACGTATCGCAACAGTCTCCCCACCTTGTCCTGATCTTTGCCGACCGACTGTTGGTCCAAAAATAAAAAGTACGTAGCCACAGCCCACAAGATGAGGGAGCCAAAGACAATGCTGACCGATCTATTCCGCATGACAGGACCAAGCGTCACCTTAGCTGCAACATGAAGAGCATCGCTGCAGACGGAGCGGGTACGCGGTGCCACGGTGAACAGAGCGAGCGGATACTAACGGGGTTTCCACACGTCGCGACGCGCGTCAGTGCATATTTACTACGCATGGGTCCCTAAATTTGTCGTCCAGGTATCGTTGCCTCTGCGGAATCGCAACGGCCGTTAAAACACACTTCAGCAGCCTCGTTCGCGGGGAGCGTTACTTACGGGCGGCGCGTTCATATCCGCAATCCGAGGAGCCTCGCGATTGCGAGTCATATGGAAGAGCGACGAGCGATCCTGGCGATCATTCACATAGCGCGGGGGACCGCGGGGCTGCGCTACCACGGCGCGAACGGCGCGGCGTGCGACCTCAGCGACGGTCGACGGCGAGGACGACGGTGCGCGAGGCGCGCTGAAAGCAGACAGACATTTATTTGTTTCTTTGCGAGCGGACGACTCAAGGACGACCGCGTTCGTCTCCCGCGACGGGAACGACGAGCCACGTCCGCGGGCGGGACGTCGACGAGATCCTCGGCGCTGGTTGCGCGCGCGAGACGCAGGTTACTTACCATTGTGACACGGGAAACGACGGTGAAGGCCTCCACGCGGACCGAACTCGAGCTCCGTTCGTCGCCCGTCGACCCGCGTGAGATTCGCCTCGCGACGGTCCGTCCGAGAGGCGAGCCTGGGAAGAGGAGAGGAACCGGAAGAACCTAACAGCGGGCCTCGGGAGACGGGGGTGGCTCACGTTGTCCGCGACAGCTGTCAGTTCGGTGTACGCGGATGATCCTTACCTTGCGAGCGAGGACCGCGGTGGCTCTGCTGTAGTTGTTAGCGCGGTAGCGCTCGTCGCTCGTCGACTCGGCCAATCCGCCGAGAGAGACAATAAACCCGGCGGCGATCGCGGCTGCGCGTGACGTGGCGAGGGGATCCTCTACATTGTGAGACAGGCGCCTAATATGAGACAGCGGGGTTTTTGTTAAATTGATAGACGTCGTCGGCTGGCTACGCCGTGACTTTATTCACCCTCCCGAAGTCTGTTCAGTGGAAAATTCACTGTCGGATCGCGCGTGTGATCGCTGCGAGAGAAAAAAAACGATTTGCGAAATTAGATACGCGGAAAAACGCGCTATCTCGTATTAGGAGCCGCTCTCATAACGGCGGGACCTCGCTGGTGAGAGCGCGCGAGATAACATTGTTATGTCTTATCATTTCTCCTCGCTCGCCCACCGTCCAATTCGATCGAATTTCGCTGACGCGATAACTCCGACGTGTACGCATACACGCTATACATATATCACTGAAAAAAATATATTTGTAAAATTACATGATTATGCTGGGTTTTTTCCGACCCAGCATAATCATGCAATATTTACTACCCACATGGAAAATTGCAGACTTTTTTCTGTAATTTTGCATGAAAATTCAAGTGTTTTTACACAAATAGTAATTTCACCATACATTTCACCTATATTTTACCATTAATATGTATAATATTTTCACTTTAAGAAATCTGGAAAAAAAATTACAGTTATAATTAGGTAAATTTCCGGATTTGAACAAGTAATTTCCATGTAAAAGTACATTAATTTTTTTCAGTGTATAGACTGTGCGTTGATTTTACGCAGGGTATGGAAGTAACGCGCGTTATCATTTCATATTAATTACTCATATTAATTACTCGTAACGTGTTGCTTACAAGTATACATATGCTCTTTTCGGTGACGGGCTGGTAACGACGTCACCTTTTTTTCTTTCGTAACTGTAACGGTAACGTAGTTACTTCTTTTTTAGTAACTGCAACAAAATTTAACATTTACTTTGATCGGCACTTTTTGTATTTCGAACCCAGTTACAAAATATAACTTAATTTTCTTACATTTTGTCTTCAGACACCGATCGGGATTCGTAATCTATTATTATCGTGGGTTGTTATATTTAGGATAAGTTTAAAATGATTACCTTAAAAATTTGAACGAAAAATTGAGAATCAAGACGGGAAACTTATAGTCGACCCAACTGGCTAGTTATTTAATTAGTTTATTACGCACAACGTTGCGACCCTGTTCTTTTGGGTCCTCTTCGAGTGATACCAAGTCAGTAATCGTCGTCGAATAAGACAGAGTCGAGTTATAAAATATATATATGTATACATATGTAAAATGACCGACTTAGTATCACTCGAAAAGGACCCAAAAGCATGCCCCGAGGACGAAGGCACTACCACTCCGATTCCAGTGGGAAATGAAAAAAAGTATGATAAACTGACCGAGGGATCAGCGAATACGGGACGGGAGGGGAGTATCACCACTTCTTGGAATCGGCCTCCGATCAGATTTCTTCGTTCACTGATAAGCGATAGCATACATACATTGATATTAAAGTTATTATATTATATCAGTTATGACTACTGTAACAAATCTTGTTGCTTGATACTCTAAATGAATATTATTAGCCTAAATAGCACGCGAGTGTGATAAACTCGAATTCTAATTAATAAATTACAAATAATTCGGTCCAGGTTCAAACCCTGGGCCGAGGATGATATTTTTTAATTTAGAATAAAATATTTAGACACTAACATCCTGCCACGGCTGGTAGTCCTGTGCATTTGTCACATTTGAGCCATACCAATTTTGTTAATTTGATGTAAATAATTCGCTTCGCATCGTTCTCAGTCTAACTTACCGACGGTTTCGAAATAACGAATGCTATTTTTTCGCAATAACTTTAGAATAAAATATTTAGACACTAACATCCTGTCACGGCTCGTAGTCCTTGAAATGTGCATTTGTCACATTTGAGCCATACCAATTTTGTTAATTTGATGTAAATAATTCGCTTCGAATTTAACTTACCGACGGTTTCGCAGGACGCAGCGCGATATCCCGCTCGAGCAACTTCCAAAGTTCCCCACCGGGGGCGTCGCGCGGCGCACATTGTTTTTGTATATGCACATTACCGGCGGTTGCCGTCGGCGCTCGGCGCGTCGCAGTGACTCGCATCGCGCTTCGCAGTAATCGCAGTGCGTGTTGGCGTTGGCGCGCGTCCGTATGTATGTTCGCGCTGTCGACAGCGCACCCGTTTGCACCCGCTCGTCCAGTCGTCTCCATCGAGCGGCTTCGCCGCCTCGGGAAAAGGAGTACGCTCTTCGGAGCAACGCGCGGACGATCTACCCCCGAGAGAAAGTGTCAACGAGACGGAAAGAGGAAGCAGCGCGGCGTATCCCTCGCGAGAACGAGTTAACGGTAAGGTGGTGATTCGTGAGAGAAAGAGACAAAAAGAGAAAGAGAGGATCCGGGACGTGACGAGCATCACGTCCGCTACGCTACGTCCGCGTGACATGAGTAACGATGTACTGCACGACGCTCGGGAGATGGTGAGGAAAACCCAAAAAGTTATTTTCACTTCTGAGAACCTGGCGTTTACCGCACGGAGGGAGGTAAACGCCAGCCCCGGTCCCCCCCCTCGTCTGAGAAACTGACCTTCGGCTCTTTCTCGCAGCTTCTGCAGGAGGGACGCGGTGAGGGCCCTGAGCACCGGCGAGGTCTCCACCGCGCTGCGCCCGTTTTACTTCACCGTTCATCCCGACCTGTTCGGCCAGTATCCAACGCAAAGAGTAAGGATCGGCCCAAGCTTAGACGAGCGTGTCCCTGGAATGAAACGCTGTATGAGACCAGACGTTCGTGCCATTTCATGCGTGAAAACAACGCGGACACGGGATCCCATTTGCTCCTCATTTGCATTCATTCTCTTCTGTCAGATTCTGAGCATATATTTTTATTGGGGACGACAATGGAGCTGTCGCGGGCTTTCTCGAATATTTAAAGAGCTCGGTAAATGTGCAGAATTGACGCTTCAGCAGGAATCGCGACTTTTGGGTGGCAAACAACAAGACAAGCTGTAAAAACATACGTACGCAAGGTTCTAATAGGGGGCTTAAAGTTTGTATAGAGAAAAAATTAAAGAATGTTCCATTAAAGGTGGAGTGTAAAGTGGAGTCTTCGCATAGAAATAGATACGCCCTCGTGGACCTCTTGCTTCGCGTGGAATCTCGCGAACCCATGTGGAACCGTACAACACAAACATATCGGCTGCATTCAGCGCACGCAACAGTTCATGCTATCATTTTCCCTCAGGGAGATGCCCCCACTTAGGACTCCGTTGCCTCGTAAGCAGTCTATGGTTAATAGAGGAAAGTCCTCTATTATTTTTCTAATGTGAGATAGTAGGTTTTCAACGCTCAAATTCAGTCGCAAATCTGTTTTCGCAACGATTACACGATCCAACAATCAATTTGCCGCTAAACAGATTTCACTCCAAGGGCAATAAACTCATGGTGTAACCAACAGATGATGCCTATCAATTTAGTAGAACCCCCGCTCTCTCATATTAGGAGCCTAGCGCAAAATAGAGGACTCTCCTCTTATGTCTATGCCGTGCAACGCACAGATCTAATTTTTACGAAACTACTTTTCCGGATCATTGTGAGCGTATCCATGAATTTTTTTCATTCTTGTCAACGTTTCATTCCGACTGTACGAGTAATGTTGAATGAATAATAATCATAGCTTGTTGATTGCCACAAAAAATCGCGATTCCTGCTGGAGCGTCAATTCTGCACAATTACCGAGTTCACTAATTGAAGCATCGGACACTCCTGATGTACAGTAATTTTCTAGTAATTATTTCGCTTATATTTTTGTAAAGGAAGCGTCTCCGGTACGTCGCGCAGCGAGAGCGACCGTGCATTTAGACACGAGCCGGTGATTCCGGAAACTTAGTTATACTTGCACACCTGAGAGAGAGAGAGAGAGAGAGAGAGAGAGAAGGAGAGAGGCAAAGATAACGCCCGCGAAAAAATGCGACTAAAAGGAGAAGGGAGCGTAACGTCGCGCCCCGTCCCGTGTATTTGTTATTTTGTTTTCTCTCATGCCGTGAGTCACATCGACACACTATGACATCGACCATTCGTATCTCTTCAAGGGCGCGAGACACGCGAGATGCACGCTCGTGCCGTTGTCAAAGCGCATTGTCGCACAAAGCGATTCGGTAGCGCAGTCATCGTTGCGTGACGGCGGGGCATGAGCGAACGCAGTGAACGGTATTATTTTTAGACGCGTGAAAATGCGTCGCCGTCATCGGGAATGACGGAACAGCGCCGCGATCTTTGGACGCGCGCATACGTGCGCAAGGTTGCTCGAGTCGGAATAAATTTTCTGCCACCACGCGTTCAGATGTTTGCGTCGTTTATCAGTGAGATAACTGTTTGCGCGCGAGCAGGGCCGCATTCGAAGATCGCGAGATTGTATGTACGTCCCGCGAAAAGGGTTGCAGTTAGGGACTCTATTCTTGGCTTCGTTCGGGAGAGAAAATTCTGCTCTTGCAGAAGAGTTGCAAGTTAATTTGTTATTCGCGTGGCTTTTAGCCAATCGACATGTAACTTTTTGCAAGAGTCGAATTCTCGCACACGTTTCTCTCCCGAATAAATTCAGGAACCGAGTCCCAGCTAGCACAGCGAATTCGCAAAGTAGATATATTCTTTAAATTGAATACTCAGATAAGAATGATTGAGGAAACTATACGCACCACAAAATGAACTTCTTTGAGAGTTCTTCGGATGTTCAATTTTCCAATTTCGTAGGCATTCTAGAAAACAAATTCTCTGTAAACTTATGTCTACGTGCTATCTGGGTAACATGTTCAGCATTTTAGATCCGTCTGTCCGAACGAGGACATGGGACAATCAGTGGAGAAGTGTAATTAAAAGTAGCGGAGCGGAACGTTTTTGTTTTTTCGAGGAGCCTGTTTCTTTCTTGAATCTCCACGCGTGTTTATCGCACGACGTTCGCTCACGGCAAAACTGATCTGAGAACGTATCTGCGATATGCGCATTTTATTTTCATAAAATGCAATTTTTTTTTAAATCACTCCAATCTCTTTGTATAAATTAAATTCGTATTCTGATCTACGTCTTAAGACCTTTTATTGAAAATTTAGCATAACTCGATCAACTCGGCCCCACTTAATCAATACATCTGTTTAATCAATATGTTGATTAACGACTTACAGCCCGCGTGTAAATATTTTTGAACGTGACGACTTAATTCTGAAAGATCATTAACCTCGCGAACCGATAAAAAGATACAGAAAAGTGTTGGGCATTATTTTTTCTATCAGGTGCAAGAAAAATCGAAATTCGGAAAATTCTGTGAAAGAACGATAGGTGTTTGTTAAACTATACAGTTACAGTTCTCTCTTTTAGTTAGCTTTCTATCCTTTTTATACACAACTGTTTATTTCTAAAGTGCTTTAGTTTTTCTTGATATAATATTTTATTAATTGGACCGAAAGAATGTCATGTCAATACGGATTCGTAAACAGTTTCTTCCCGAGTTTTAACCTTTTAACTATCAAGTACATGGATATCAATAGAAATACACAACTCACACATGGATATCGATACAAAACACTTGTCTTTCTTCAAAACACTTGCCGATGAACATTAATTGTTTATCGAAGAAGATAAAAGGACTCGATCGAAGTCTATCTCTAGCAATACTAGAATGTAGTTGAAGATCAAATTAGTACGTCTTATTGTTACGCTTGATTGTGATTAATTGCGTCTGTTATCACATTCGTACAATATTAGGTAATATTCAGATGTGTTTGAGTCACACTTTCTCATACGATTTGTGGGAGACAGTTTGGCCAGACATTTTCTGAACACTATATCATACCACAGATATATTATTTTTTTATCTTTGCCTATAATTATATTGTAATGGAAACAGTATATTAAGTATTGTTTGTATTTGTCCACGTTATTGACTGTAATTTATTATTTACAGACGGTGAATGAGAACTCTTTGAAGCAATTAAGTTCAATCTTAGAAACTCTGCAACAGAAGCAACCTATACGACCGACTACCTTGCCCTTTTACCTGCGATCGAAAGACGAGAGAGATGTGAAGGCCGGTAAATTTACACTTGTAAAGATACAACTGAAAGAAAAGGATCTCAGACAAGCGATACTTTCTATTTTGAAAACATGCGATTTACCCACGACGTTTGTCGACAAAATCGAGGAGCAGAAGTCACCCCCTGTCGCAAAGCACAAATCCAGATTTTGGCAACGCGCACATTCTGGAGAGAGGATGGACTTTTCGGGATTGGAGGACGATCCTATTTATGCGTCGATTATTATGAAACGCAAGATTAATGCAGAGCCAGATACATTAAAGTAGATATAACATTGGGATACACTTAAAGTGCCAAGTATTGCTGTTATATTCCTATATATGTTTCCGATTAGGGCGTATCTGGACAAACACATCAATGAAGTACACGTTAAACTGGAGGCATGTAGACCAGTGAGAGACGAGGTGAAGAAATTGGAAAAAGTGCTATGCAGCGAGTTGGGTCTGAAGGACATCATATGGGACTGTGGTTGGAATATCGCTCATTATCGCGGCTGTTTATTAGCCTTCCAGGCGTTAGCCGAACATCATCCGGAATCGATGGAGGTGTTGAGAAATCGCACTCTCGTGTTCGCAAACGACACTGGTATCAGTTTAGAGGGCAATGTTATGCTAAATTCTGGAGAAGTTAGGCACAATTGGCTTGACGTGAGTTGAAAATAGCTCATTATCGATCTCTATCGACGCCACTGCGTGTTTATTAAATTCCTGCGTCTTTTGCAGCTAATAAAGAATGTAAGAAAGCACGATGCTGTGTTGTTGAAATTGCCGGCGTTTGAAAAAGCAGTGTCCCAAGTACTTCTCGACATTAAAGTTGGTCGACGGTGCGTAATACATCATATTATTTGAGTTATGGTAAGGCTCAGAGTGCTCTATATGTGCAGGAAATTCATGCCTAAGGTAATGGTCGGCCAGTATGAACAACAGCTGCGACAACTCACGACTACGCTCTCTGATTATCGTGGCAAAAGAAAGTATCCGAGTTCTTGGCCGGCCAGTCTTTCAGCTTACGAAATAGTCATCGAAGCGTTAGTATAAATACCGCTGCCTGTGGATGATTTTGAAAGTCTCGCGCAAGAGTAGCTCAATGCGTTTTATCATTTTGCAGCGAGGCAGGCCCTCTGATGTTATCGCCGACCGGGCAGTTCATCGTGCCGTCGTCATGCCCAAGCTTTCTCTTGGTGAATTTTATTACGGAGAACTTAGAGGAGGCTATGAAGAGACTGTATCATTATAATGAGTGAGGCGCCTCAGATTTCTAATTGAACTTGAATCAATATAGATGTTTATTACTACTTGTGCGCACTTGTAGCATAAAGCACGTGGAACGGGAGCTTCACCGTAGGACCATCACGGAATTAGGTTTAGCTGCTCTTAACAAGGATGACAGCATTACGCCAGATCTAATGATACAGTGCTGCGAGCGACTACTCCTGCACAAGACGGATCTGGCACCATCGCTCGAGGGCGTCATGCTTTGGGTTACTCATTATTATTCCGTTATGAGCGACGGTGTTCTTTGTGTGCCATGGGATTGGAGGTTCTAACTTTCGACCGAAACGAAATATGTTGACGGTTAATATTGTTAAGTCATTAGCGTAAGCGTAACGCCAATAATTACGCCGACAATGCAAATAAGTTTTACAAGTCTTGATAGTAGCGGTTTAAAATAACTTATTATCTGCGTAAGGTAAACTATTATAATAGAACTGCATTGTAACAGTCATACTCTATTAAAATAGTTGCCATGTGTCGCACATATTTAAGTTTTTATTTGTTGGAAATGTATATTGCGTTAACGCCATCGGTAAAAGCGGCCAAAGACTTCCCTGGAAAAATGGCTGTCCCTTGCGTAACTTGTTTTTGTTTCAAAGGGATGCAATGACAAATAAGTGCGAACTGGGAATATTGTTTTTTAACAGCAAAATGATTGCTAGTCTTGCATAAATCTTAATTTAGCTTAAGAGACTCGATGCGCCGTAGACAATTGTATACATACATATATATATATATATCTATTTTTTTAATTCGACCCTATACCGACTCGAATCTAAATGTACAATCTACAATTGTGTCCGATCGAGGACAAAATTAAATCGGATTTTGCAATAATTGAGACATTCGTACACCTCTGAAAATGTCGCGTACTTGATCTCCTTTGTTCCAAGACCGTCGGAATCAAATGCTTCTTTTCTGCTCTAAAATTTCGTAGCGCCCCTAATACATTTCACAATTTTCTTTCTTACTGAACAAGCAAACTCTTACAGTATTATATCGACAATTATGATTGCGAGAACGTAGCACATGCGTACATTCGGCATTTACAATTAATTCCTCAACGGCGCGGTATTCACGGTCCGATTTAAATTTATCTGAAGACGCTGTACGGAACATTTCATTGGCTACGGCCAATATAACTCATTTCGCTTTTCCTCGACATCTCATGGTTCTTCACGCGCAAGGTATTTGTTGCGAGTATGCGCGCGGCAGGGACTTTCGGCCGGGACGTGTCCCGCGCGACCGTCCGCTGTTCCCGCGCAAACCAGCGCGAAAATATCCGGCGCGCGTGCGCGCGAGCGCCCACCGGTCGGCGCGCGGGCCGCGCGCCCGCGCCGCGGCTTCATTCGGCTTTCAGCGCTCGGTGTTGGCGTGTCGGCGCGATCCTGTGTGGCATCTGGTGGCATCTTTCTAACCGTCATCGCGCTCCCACCCCGCTCTCCCCTCGCGCTAGAAAAAAGAAAACGCGCTCGACGTAACGGCGAAACATGTCCGGACGCGGCAAAGGCGGTGAGTAAGACACGAGGGGTGGAAAGAGGAGCCGGTAAAGGGAGGAGAGTCTCGCGCCGCGCCGGGCGACGGCGACGACGACGACGACACTCCTCGGCGCCTGTTCTCTTTCCAGGTAAGACCAAGGGGAAGGCGAAGACCCGCAGCAGCAGGGCCGGCCTGCAGTTCCCCGTGGGCAGGATTCACCGTCTCCTGAGGAAAGGCAACTACGCTGAGCGCGTCGGCGCCGGGGCGCCGGTCTATCTCGCCGCCGTCATGGAATATCTGGCGGCCGAAGTGCTCGAGCTGGCTGGAAACGCCGCCAGGGACAACAAAAAGACTAGGCAAGTCCTTCCTCGTTCTCGCTCCATCTCTCTCTCTCTCCCCGCGCGAGCGCGCGCGCGCGCGCGCGCGCTTTCTCTCGCTCTGTCTTCCTCGCTATCGCCGTAACTTCCTGTTTCTATCCCGCGCTCGCGTCTCGCTCGGTTTCTTTCGCACCCTCGGCCCTCCGGACCTGCCGCAGAGGGAGGTATAGATCACCGTCGTTAACCAACTCGCTCCCGAGAAGACTGTCTCCCGGTCGCGCCTTCGCCGCTGTTCCCCGAGTCGCCACGCGCTCGTTTGTTTCGGAGAACGATCTGTATCGGCTCGACTCGTGATTTCTGTATCCATTTGTTGTTCCACCTTCGCTTGGGAATTTTTGGTAAATCGCGATCGATGCTCGCACGCTCGATCCTCGTCAACTTATTCGAGTGCGCGAACGACGCGAGGGAAGAGACGGGCTCTTCGTGTGGGGACGTGGGGTGGAATTCTGGACTACGTCGCTGGCCAGCACCGAACACGACCTGTACGACGCGCTCGTCGCTGCTTCTTTCGCACTTGGTGCGCATTGAGCTCGGGTTTACGCATAAATGTCTGTCTTCCGCAGGATAATCCCGCGCCACTTGCAATTGGCTATCCGTAACGACGAGGAACTGAACAAACTGTTGTCCGGAGTGACCATTGCTCAAGGCGGTGTCCTGCCCAACATCCAAGCGGTCCTGCTGCCAAAGAAGACCGGCACCAGCGGCTCCGGCAAGGGCGACAAGGCGTCACAAGAATATTAGACTGTTGCACGTTTATAATTTCTAACCGTTTGATTGTTTATAATTTGAACCGTTTTGTAACCTTTTATATACTTTCAACAGTCCTCGTTTTTCGTGAAACGAGGACGGGAGGAACAGATGCCCCGGCGACGTCCTGTGTGCGACAGGATTTACATTGGTTCTTGAGATAGAAAAAATATAGAGATCGATAGCGGACGATTTACACTGTCGTATATTGTGGTCTTATTTGTACGAGTTCGAACATGCGGGTTTTTTTTTATTAATCGCCAATCACCCACAAGAGTTTTCCGTTGCGTTCGATTGGGGATCTTGGAGCTAGACTACTTTGATTCGCGCTCTCTTCCACGTCTGTCCTGGGACACCGTTGAAAGTATAATTGCCGTCTTAGTTGAAAGTGTTACAGTATCGGACGGTAACTCTAAATTCCTGTCCCGACTCGAGGACCATGCTGTGACTATTGATTTAATTCCCGCATTTATAGCTTCGCGATGGTTTTATTTATGTGATGCATTTTTATATTATTTATTCGCTGTCGTTATGATGGCGTATGCGTTCTTTTCTTTTTGTGCACACTTCTCCGGCGGTCATACTTTTCTTTTTGTCTTTATAGCCTGTGACCTATTCTTGACTCTACCCCGTGTCATCTAAACAATGAAAATTTGAAAATGTATCGCGAAAGCGCACGAATGTTTTTGTTGATTGTAAACGATATTTGATGCAAAAAAAAATAAATAACATTGCGTCCCTATTCGGAGTTCAGTTCGCGTGCGGTGTGTGCGATCCCTTTTTGAACGTGAACGAGACTTCGTGAAAGTTCCCGACATTCCCGTGTACTGTCCACCGCGAGACGGGTATCTTTTGTATAGTGACGAACAGAATTGGTTGCGACACTTCTTTTAAATGGGTCTAGAAATTCGAGAAATAGATCGGAGACGCTCGAAGGATTTCAGAACGTGACCCTGAATCTAAATGCATGTTCCTAAACTCGCTTAAAAAAGGTGCCGTGACCATTCTGTTCGTTGCTGTGCAGCGACAATCGCGAATGAGCGGAGCTTTATATAAAAGTACAATTAACCTTTGTAACATAATAAACATAATGTATACTGTTAACATTCTATCTTTGGATATTCTTCCCTGTTTAAAATATTAAAATGTGATCACATTGCATGCAATTTCAATGTAAATAAATAAGAGTTGTTAATTTACATTGAATTGCGTGTAATCTGATCGTATTCTATCTATCATTTTAAACAGGGTTGGTATATGCTGCAAAATATTCTCGGTATATACTGCAAAATATCCCCGATAGGGAAATATTTAGAGAATTATGTGACGAGAAATCTGGATGAAACTTGGAATGCTGAAATTACGCGTACATATTTCGAACATGTGCAGAAATGGAGACCTGTCATCGGATTAATATTGTATTTACACAATGTCTTTCTAAATAGTATGTCAGCAAAACAGCTACGTTTTGGCGAATCCACCTTGGCAGAATATTTGCGCAATTAACTTGCTATCGTGTTAGTTACGAGCTGCCGCTACGAGGCGTCTCATACTCGCAAGTAAAATTCACGCGAGACGAGATAACAGCAGACCCGGCGGTAAAAACTTACCGCGCTTAATCTCTTTTTTTTTAAACATTTATTAATTTATCAAACGTAATTTGTGTTGCTGGACTATTTTGCTTCTAAATGTTTGAACGGTTGTGCATGATTTAGCCCCTAAATTGAATTTCTCAATTTCTGGGCAAATACCATTTGGAAATTTTATTCCTACAAAACCGCTACGTTATGGCGAATCATCTTACAATTAATACAATCGAGCCAATTATTGCACAGTGTTTGTGACATTTTCCTGTCGGGAATTTTCAGGCCGGTATTTATAGTCGATTCTTATTTCAAAATCATCTTGAGTGTTGTCTTAAGAAGCTAATACGGCTCAGCGATTGATTGAAAACACATTAAGAGTGTACTTAAGATGATCTTAAATATAAGAACGGACTATGAATACCGGCCATAGTCCGTTCTTATATTTCAGATCATCTTAAGTATACTTTAATGTGTTTTTAATCAATCACAGAGTCGTATTAGCATCTTAAGATGATTTTGAAATAAGAATCGACTATGAATGCCGGCCTACGAGCTGGCAAAAGGCGGACATAGGAATCTGAATGTTTCACCGCGATTTCATTGTTTACCATCGGTCGATATCCCGATCTCATGCCCATTCTACACCTAGGGATGATCCTATACTTGTGGCTCATCTGAGTGGAGAAGTTTACACGAGCATTTTCGTATGATTTCACTATGATTTTTAACCGTCTTGTGTAGAAATGGCACTCGAGTCCATAAACGGTCTCAATGCGACGATCTTTGTCCGTTTATTTACCCACTCGGATGAGCCGCAAGTAGAATCG